TTGTAGCGCGATGCGTTACTGTGCCGCGCCGCGCACTCAATAAGGCTTCTCACAGCGACTGGCTAGATCGGCGAAATGCGCTACTGTGCCGCGCCGAGCTGCCATGAATTGACATCGTCAATTAACATAAATTATAAAAGTATATATATTTTTAAAGCTGATCATATAATTTCCAAAAAGTCATTTAATTGTGTTGCAAAAACTATGGGTTATTAACAACAAAATTTCAAATATGGTGTTTTATTGTGCTTTATTGGTACCAAACTATACAAAATGCTAATATTTCAAGAATAAAGTGGCGCGCGCAACTTCGAAGAAATTTAGACGAGTAACTAACTGCTAACGTCGCGTCAAGCTGCACGTATTATAGTAGAGGCTTTTACGGGCATTGTCTGCTCGATACGCTATCGACCCCAGATACACCTTACTAGACGTATTTTTGACCGTAGAATCGATTAAAAGTCGTTTCAGGATGATTGGACTGATTTTTCTCGGTTAAAATCGCAAAAAACCAATTTTTGGGCCAAAAATAGGCCAAAAAACCATGTTTTTTGATATTTTGAGCAAGTTAATTTTATTGGCATGTCGGCAAAACTTGCATGGAGATAGCTAAAAGACAGCCGCACAAGATGGTATAAAAATAAAACAAATCCCTCTATTTTTTATGAGGTAAAAATCCAAAAAAGTGGTAAAAATTTTGACTTTTTTGCTTGAAGTTTGAATAATTTTTTGCAGTTGTATTAAATCAACTCAAAAATATTCACATCGTGTTTGCCTAAATTTTTTCCTTTCTGAGAAGTACCCACTTCATATAATTTATCGAAGTTTGAATATTGTCACTCCGCAAGCGTTTTTGCCAAATTTTCGACGCGCACTACGCGCAAAAGCATTTAGTTGTTATCAATTGGCACCCGCGCGTTCATCATAAATTTCAAACAGCTATAACTCAGCGAGATTATGTCCGTTCTAGCTCATATTTTCACACCAAATAGAAAATGATGTGATCTTATTGCTGACAAAATATGAATATAATTACTCTATTTGCCTTAAAGTAATAGACTGTCAAAGTTTAAAACGCGCATTGGTATAGCACGTGGCTAATAAGACCAAATCTATACTTCTTAACATTGTATCGATCCTTAGACATCATACTATTGTGTCCAATTAGCGGTTAGGTCTCTAAACTCGTAGCAGAAAACGCGCCTTTTTGCCCGTAAGAGCCTCTACTATCAGTTATTTAGAATATATATTCGCATGTATCCACACTATATTTACATTACACGTTCAACGTGATATCGTTATCAGTGCAGTGTGTACAACACCAACTACACCGATCAATTGCCAATCTGCGAAACATTTAATTATTATTATCACTTCGAGATGGCCAGGCCTACTTTCATGCTGTCTATATGTGATGATTAACTCTGAAAAACTAGGGACAACTGGGGAATGATCCCAGAACCTCGAGATTTCGCGTCTCTTGCTCTACCAATTGAGCTACTGACCCTGATTCTCAGAGCGAAATCACCACTGCTGTATATGAGTGGTGATTTCGCTCTGAGAATCAGGGTCAGTAGCTCAATTGGTAGAGCAAGAGACGCGAAATCTCGAGGTTCTGGGATCATTCCCCAGTTGTCCCTAGTTTTTCAGAGTTAATCATCACATATAGACAGCATGAGAGTAGGCCTGGCCATCTCGAAGCCTCTACTATGTAGGTTTACAACCTACCAGGACGCGCGCCGAGTTGGACTCGTCGACGAGGTTGCCGGTTGGACTCGTCGCCGAGTTGGACTCGTCGACGGTCCAATATATGGAACAGATATTTTACGAGTATCACCCGTTAAGCTTAGGCCTAGTTGGGAAATGTAATTGTTGACGGCCCAGTCAATATCTGAAACAAATTTTTTTCACGAGCGTGCTAATTGCTAAATCACTCTGCATATATGACAGTCGATGAGTCGATCTTCGAGATTGTCCTAAAAGGGCCCCCGACAGTTGAAACCAACTTAAATCGATGTATTTTCGGACGCTGATTCCGAATCACCCCCATGACAAAGGGTCAAAATGCTCCCCTGCCTGGCAAGATGATATGACCGTATAAGAAAGTTGGTTTATAAATTTCTTGTCAGTGGTCACTGTATCACGTGGTGACCCCCACGGTCGCTTCACTATAGTGTAGAGTTTCGACGATACAGGGGGAGCCGCGCACTCGTGCGCGGCGGGTCATACAACGTATGACAAAGTGGTCAGGGTCATGGGGTTTCAGCGAATGCTTTTGTTAAAAATTGGGTTAGGGTTAGGGTTGGGATCAGATTATATAGAGGGCTACGATTTCGAATAAACAGTCATTCAGGGCTAGGTAGGGAAATGAGAAAGTGTTTAAAAAGTCACGTGACAGTCGAGTGTAGAGTGATTAATCATCATTCTATTTTACAAGTAGCACCTGTTAAATTTTAACTTTGTGGCACGTGATATAAAATGTGATATGAAGTGATTTGCGTCGGAATCAGGTATAAGCTTTTCTTGTCGCAGCAAACGGGTTCAATACAAATTTTACCCAAGAAACATTTCAACTACATATATATATTAAACATATTTCGTAGGCCCTAAAATGATTCCTCGATCCATGATCAATGGTATGTCAGGGTGACAGGGTCTAGATTACAAAGAGCCGAAACCGTATAGCTGGTACTAGACTATAATAACCGTATAGCTGGTACTAGACTATATTCTACTATTCTATAACCGTATAGCTGGTACTAGACTATAATAACCGCATAGCTGGTACTAGACTATATTCTACTATTCTATAACCGTATAGCTGGTACTAGACTATATTCTACTATTCTATAACCGTATAGCTGGTACTAGACTATAATAACCGTATAGCTGGTACTAGACTATAATAACCGCATAGCTGGTACTAGACTATATTCTACTATTCTATAACCGTATAGCTGGTACTAGACTATAATAACCGTATAGCTGGTACTAGACTATATTCTACTATTCTATAACCGTATAGCTGGTACTAGACTATAATAACCGTATAGCTGGTACTAGACTATAATAACCGCATAGCTGGTACTAGACTATAATAACCGTATAGCTGGTACTAGACTATATTCTACTATTCTATAACCGTATAGCTGGTACTAGACTATAATAACCGTATAGCTGGTACTAGACTATATTCTACTATTCTATAACCGTATAGCTGGTACTAGACTATAATAACCGTATAGCTGGTACTAGACTATATTCTACTATTCTATAACCGTATAGCTGGTACTAGACTATAATAACCGTATAGCTGGTACTAGACTATATTCTACTATTCTATAACCGTATAGCTGGTACTAGACTATAATAACCGTATAGCTGGTACTAGACTATATTCTACTATTCTATAACCGTATAGCTGGTACTAGACTATAATTATAACCGCATAGCTGGTACTAGACTATAATAACCGTATAGCTGGTACTAGACTATAAGCTAGTAGTGCGTATCGGGTTGGGACGTTATAAACGGACAAGAACAAAATAAAAAGAATACAAATTGAATATAAAAGGGTTGAACGGGGTGTTCTAGAATTCTAGAACATTCAAGAGCACGTACCAGATTGTACACAGCACTAAAATTACCTCACCACAAGGTCCTCATGGAAAACTATTATGGGGCGTTTACAGTTACTAGTGGAGTTGGCATTGTTCTGGTGAGTTGGACAAAAGGATATTGTTCATCTCATCGATTATTATTTGTTAGTCATCGCATGACAAGCCGAGGTCAATAGTTGCCAAGTTTGCAGAAACCCGGTAACACCGTTACAGCTATTATCTTGACCTGTTGTCGCAGCCTTAGTGGCGTTCCCATTGACGAGACACCAGTTCACAACTTACCAGTACCAAGTACCCCTCCCTCCCTCCCTCCGTCCCTCCCTCCCTCCCTCCGTCCCTCCCTCCCTCCCTCCGTCCCTCCCTCCCTCCGTCCCTCCCTCCCTCCCTCCCTCCCTCCCTCCTTCCCTCCCTCCCTCCCTCCCTCCCTCCCTCCCTCCCTCCCTCCCTCCCTCCCTCCCTCCCTCCCTCCCTCCCTCCCTCCCTCCCTCCCTCCCTCCCTCCCTCCCTCCCTCCCTCCCTCCCTCCCTCCCTCCCTCCCTCCCTCCCTCCCTCCCTCCCTCCCTCCCTCCCTCCCTCCCTCCCTCCCTCCCTCCCTCCCTCCCTCCCTCCCTCCCTCCCTCCCTCCCTCCCTCCCTCCCTCCCTCCCTCCCTCCCTCCCTCCCTCCCTCCCTCCCTCCCTCCCTCCCTCCCTCCCTCCCTCCCTCCCTCCCTCCCTCCCTCCCTCCCTCCCTCCCTCCCTCCCTCCCTCCCTCCCTCCCTCCCTCCCTCCCTCCCTCCCTCCCTCCCTCCCTCACTCCCTACCTCTCTCCCTCCCTCCCTCCCTCCCTCCCTCCCTCACTCCCTCACTCCCTACCTCTCTCCCTCCCTCCCTCCCTCCCTCCCTTCCTCCATCCCTCAAATTGTGTACTTGTTTTGTGAAGATTTTAACTGCTAATGGCCTTTATCAAAAAATCTGAATATTCTAATATAAAGAGATTATAAATGCTCAACCCGTTTCAGATTTTTTCAATCAGAGTTTCTTGATAAGAAAACTGGTAACGGTGCAGTTACGAGCTTAAAGATGCCGGCTTCAACTGAAATGAAAGGAACTTAAGCTGATACGATCTTTCGAGAACACCTTCCGTAATAAAATCTGACACCTACCTGTGCTTGCAGTCGTATCTCCAACACTCTGACGTTATGGTACGTCAAGTTAAAACGTCACTAATCTCAGATGTTCCCGATCACCGTCAAACCGGTTTTACAGGTTATTCCATATTTCTAATCTGTGCTCAGGTCTAAACCTAATTTACACCTGCTCTCACTGAGTAAGCATCAAATGAAAGCCGCAATTCGTGTCATGATAAGTGTAGATAAGATTAAGACAAATGGTTACAGATAAGAATATCCGTGTCACTTGCTGGTTGTATGTTGGTGGTTTGAGTTGCAGTTTGAAGAAACCGGTTTTCCCTACAACATACAACCAATTTCTTAGTTACTCTGCCGTATGAATCAGGTTTATTTAGAGTATTGCAAGACAGCATTTGCTTGGGGTGATTGTGACACCTAAGTGCTATTTCTAGGGCCTGCTTGCTTCCGGTGCGCTAGACCAGCACTATTTAGTAAGCAGTCTATCACAACACCTTCTGTTGTGATTGCAGCTGTTTAGCTGAATTACCAGTGTGTTCTGATTGCAGCTGTTTAGCTGAATTACCAGTGTGTTCTGATTGCAGCTGTTTAGCTGAATTACCAGTGTGTTCTGATTGCAGCTGTTTAGCTGAATTACCAGTGTGTTCTGATTTGAATCTGACTTTTGCTTAACTTAACGTATTTTGATTTGAGCGGTAAAAATTTGGCTTTGGGATTGTGCCAAATCGGCAAATCTGGTGGATATTTTTTGAGATAAGATTAACATTGGCTGCGAACCGGATGCCTATGACTTAACTGAAGTTCCCTTTAGAATTTTGTATGGTTAAATTTAATATTTGTTACGCCGTACTCGTTGCTTTTAAAGTATTTGTAATTTAAAGCATCACTCTTGAGGCTTGAGAGAAGTCTAATAACAAACTTGTATTTCTCTGCCATGGTTAATACTATTTAATAGCATTTTCTGGCTGCTTTCAGAAGTTATTTCAAATCCACTAATTAATATTTTTAACCTAAGTTAATACTCTCATCCTATATTACTAACTAACTGATTTCAATCGCAGACAAGTATTCATCAATGGATGGCCTAAGTGCTAGAACGAAGCGTATTAACGTGTTAATCAATGCTATCGGTACAATGCTGGTATACACCAGCTTCTTTGCTGGAACCATGCTCATGGTAAACCTCGTTAAACCAATTTAGATTTTATATTACTTAAATACACTTTTCGTTTTGCAAATTTTTATTTTCACAAGCCGTGAGTTTTCAAGAAGTCTGAACTTAATTAATGAAGTTAATGAACTAATTGATGAAGTTAATGAACTAATTGATGAAGTTAATGAACTAATTCATGAAGTTAATGAACTAATTGATGAAGTTAATGAACTAATTGATGAAGTTAATGAACTAATTGATCGATCAACTCACCGAGTTGTTAACTGAAAACTAACTAATTTTACTGCATTTCAGCCGACTCTACTAAAAGGGAAACTAGAGGAACAAACAATATTCTACTCTATGGCCGTGCACTGCCTCACCGCTGCATTAACCTCCCCAGTCTCCATGTTCATCATCAAGTAATAAAACAATTATTTAATTATAAAAATTATAAATAGAATGATAAAGTAAGGCACCCCTGAACCCGGGCACTGTTGTTGGATAATTAACAGTAAATCTGTTATCTCTTTCTCGTTGATGGACATCAATAAATTTATCGTTAATCAACTGATTAATCAATTAACTAATTAGCTAATTGACTGATTAATTAATTAATTAATTAATTAATTAATTAATTAATTAACTATTTAAATAATCAACTAATTAACTAATTAACTAATCAACTAATTTTATTCGATTACTTATTACAGGCACTTCGGAGCTAAAATCTCGCTGATAGTAGGCAGTATCTGCTGCATGCTGTTCTACATATCCGTCATGTTTCCCATACCTGGGGTTGTCTTCGCAGCTCAGTCGGTGTTTGGATTCGGACTCGCTCTAGTCAGACCTGCTTCTCTCAACTTTTTGGTGAAGAACTCCTCTCCCAGTGCCATGGGTTAGTGGTTTTCAACTTTTTCCTCTTTCTGTTATTTTTTGTTGTTGTTGAAATAATTGTTGCATCAACCAACATTTGCTAAATCTTGCATAATGTTCATTATATGCAAGCCTCTTGATTTATAATCACCGGGTCTAGTAATTGTTTAAGAGAGCTCTCTGGCAGTTACGAAACTCGAGAGACTGTGGGATACTGAAGGGAAGGAAGCAGTTCTAACGAGCGCTTCTCAAACACAAGGATATATCTTGTGAACTTGGCTAGTATATATGAAACATTTGACACGGAGTTGTAGAGTGAGCTATGTGCCTCGCCGGGCTAAAGTAGTGGATGTCCTTGCTGTACGGCAAGTTAAACAAGGAACTGAAACTACTAGGTTCCGTACAGACTCAACTCTGCACCCATGTCAATATGTTAATTATATGCGAGCCTCTTGATTTATAATCACCGGGTCTAGTAATTGTTTAAGAGAGCTCTCTGGCAGTTACGAAACTCGAGAGACTGTGGGATACTGAAGGGAAAGGAAGCAGTTCTAACGAGCGCTTCTCAAACACAAGGATATATCTTGTGAACTTGGCTAGTATATATGAAACATTTGACACGGAGTTGTAGAGTGAGCTATGTGCCTCGCCGGGCTAAAGTAGTGGATTTCCTTGCTGTACGGCAAGTTAAACAAGGAACTGAAACTACTAGGTTCCGTACAGACTCAGCTCTGCACCCATGTCAATATGTTCATTATATGCGAGCCTCTTGATTTATAATATCCTTTTCGTGCACGCGAAAAGGGAAATGCAACGTGTGTCAGACCAACATAAGGTTCATTTTTAAACTTCCAAAAAGTGATCAACCAATAAACTAGTTATTTTGTGCAGGTGTAAACTCCAGTATCCACTGGGGAGTGTTTATGAGCAGCATGATTTGGGGTAACGCTGTTGTTTACTGTCTGACGTACGGTAACTACTACGATGCAAGGACCAGGTGAGACTTATATCATTTTAGTTTCTTTCCATATTACTATATTAGCGGTAAGAGAAACGCCAATATTGGACGTGAGGAGAGTGAGGAGAGTGAGGAGAGTGAGGAGAGTGAGGAGAGTGAGGAGAGTGAGGAGAGTGAGGAGAGTGAGGAGAGTGAGGAGAGTGAGGAGAGTGAGGAGAGTGAGGAGAGTGAGGAGAGTGAGGAGAGTGAGGAGAGTGAGGAGAGTGAGGAGAGTGAGGAGAGTGAGGAGAGTGAGGAGAGTGAGGAGAGTGAGGAGAGTGAGGAGAGTGAGGAGAGTGAGGAGAGTGAGGAGAGTGAGGAGAGTGAGGAGAGTGAGGAGAGTGAGGAGAGTGAGGAGAGTGAGGAGAGTGAGGAGAGTGAGGAGAGTGAGGAGAGTGAGGAGAGTGAGGAGAGTGAGGAGAGTGAGGAGAGTGAGGAGAGTGAGGAGAGTGAGGAGAGTGAGGAGAGTGAGGAGAGTGAGGAGAGTGAGGAGAGTGAGGAGAGTGAGGAGAGTGAGGAGAGTGAGGAGAGTGAGGAGAGTGAGGAGAGTGAGGAGAGTGAGGAGAGTGAGGAGAGTGAGGAGAGTGAGGAGAGTGAGGAGAGTGAGGAGAGTGAGGAGAGTGAGGAGAGTGAAGAGAGTGAGGAGAGTGAAGAGAGTGAGGAGAGTGAGAAGAGTGAGGAGAGTGAGGAGAGTGAGGAGAGTGTTATATCATGATATTAAATTCATTTAAACCTATTACGAAGTCCCATCTGCCCCATAATTTGAGTTTTGTTTGTACTGTACGTGATTATTTTAATAAGGTTTAAAGTTGACACAAATGTTATGGACAACACCACGTAAGATTTCTTCTAGGATTATTTCATTACCACGTGATGTCTAGACTAAACAGTACAGACTACAACATGATCACAACTTGTCCGTCCTGGACAGCAGACTCAGTTATAAAAGCCCGACGTGGTGCGACCCCATAATGCGAAGCCTTGACTTCTGACACGCTTATAATTATCATAAGGCTTGAAGTTGACACACTTGTTGCTGGTACCATATTTAGGGACCTTTAGTAAGAAGTTGGCAGGTAGAACTAGAAGTAATACCCCCCTATCCTGTCAACATTACATACAATTAGTGCGCTCCAAGAAGTTGCTGCTGATATCACCAACCCTCGTGTTAAATGTGCAACTCGTCACGAGTTGAACCCGTGTTAAATGTTTAGAATTACTACAGGGACTGCATAATCTGCAGAACGTTAGTACCCCTCTACTTTTGGAACTGAGATGATATTCTGCGAAATACCGCGTACAGCAGTGGAATCACGTACATACCTATATGAGATTGAGTCACGTGACTTTTACTTTGAGCAATATTTGTCAGCCCCCGTGTTAAACATTCAGCATTAATTCAGGTCTGGCTAAGTGCATGGGTGGCACGTTAAACTAGTACCCATCTAGTATACAACTTTTGAAATATCGCGTACAGCAGAGAGACCACGTACATACCTATAAGAGTCACATGACCTTCACAAGATTTATTGATGGTCAAGTTTCTTAGGTCAATATTTTTCCTTATTTTTGTTGGATTCGTGAATTTATTTTTGGAATAAGTGTGAAATATTTTTGCGAAAATATCGCGTACATGTGACCAGTGGTAAAATTTAAATTAATATATCACGTGACTAAATGCCGAACTCTTGTACGTGGTCAGAGTGACCACGTACAAGAGTTCGGCATTTAATCACGTGATATATTAATTTAATACGATTTCTTGACGGTCGAACTTCTACAGCTTTTCTACGCTGAAAAGCAGCGGAGATCATTAATATTGAGCTGCAAACTCGTATTTTGTTGGATTCCTGCAGTAATACTGTAATGGCCTATTTCTGCCCAAAAAACGCGGATATATAACCCACAATCCTTCAGAGTAACAGTATACGGAATTCTCCTTGGACTGAACATGCTAGGAACAGTAATGTACGTACTGTTGAGGACTCCACCAAGAACGTCTGATACAGAAAGAAAACCTCTCCTTGACGGAGTAAGTACTGAGAGAGAGAGAGAGAGGGACTGGAGATAGACATTGGCATAAAAAGAGGAGTCACTCAGACAAATATCACTCACATTTCGACCCTTCTTACATATGAAACAACTTTTTCTTAGGATTCCCTATTTAACACTAGGCCTCTCATTTTGCTGTTGTCTGATCATTGGTGGAAAATAGTGTACTCCATAAAATAATACTGCCAGCAAGAATGAACACTCTTTACTCTTCGATATTCATCTCATGATATTTCAAACTCCAATTTTGAATCCAGACTCCTATAATTAGACCTCGTTAAAAACGGGGGTCTAAAATCGAGGTGGTAGCCTGTTACCCTACAATCAGGATGGTGTTCTAACCATGTACCAACTAACTGTAAACTAACTAAAGTTCTAACTAAAATCTCTAAAGTTCTAACTAAATTTCTAACTAAAATCTTTAAAGTTCTAACTAAATTTCTAACTAAAATCTCTAAAGTTCTAACTAAAATTTCTAACTAAAATTTCTAATTAAATTTCTAACTAAAATCTCTAAAGTTCTAACTAAAATCTCTAAATTTCTAACTAAAATCTCTAAAGTTGTATCTAGAATCTCTAAAGTTCTTACTAAAATCTCTAAATTTCTAACTAAAATTTCTACTGTTCTAACTACATTTCTCCAACACCCCAACAGATGAAAGAAGATTTGAACCCGGTGACATTTGGCAACTTGATTAAAGAAACCTTCTCTCTGGTGATTCTGAAACAGACTGTCTGGTTGATACCCTCCATGCTGGCTGCTGGCTTCTACTTTACTATGTACTGCGTAGAGGTAATACTGAGATATTCTTAATATCTCACATTTAATATATCTTAGTTTTAAGAGATATTGAAAATATTTGATAATAGCAAAACTAATTGTCGTTGTTTGAGATGGGGGTCTAGAGTGGTTAGAATTGAAAAACTATCAGTTATACTTTTGAAACTTTTAGGCATTGAAACCAATGATACAATTATTGTTGTCCAGTCGTATTTCTATGTATCGCCGAACGTGCCCATGGAAAATGGAGAAAATCGATCCGCTGAGCTTCACCATAACTCGTTTCTCATCCCTCACCATAACTCGTTTCTCATCCCTCACCAAATAAAAATTTCTGTCATTCATTCTAAAACCAGTATCACTGTGAACAGTTTGGATAATAGAGTACAGACTGCGGAATCACGGTGCAAATCTAAAACTTACAAAACTGTTTCAGATCCCTACAATGATTGGAAGCCACATTGCCTTATTTGGTATTATGGTTGGAGTTGGGGAACTTTTGGGGTCTTTGGTTCTTGGCCGCATCATTTCCGCTTTCGGGTTCGTTTATTCGTTATTTTAATTTCTATACAGTTTATTAACTTAATAACTGTATTAACTTAGGTTAACTTATGTTACCTTAACAAACGATACAATTAAGATTCCCGTTACATTATAACGTTTCAACACATTTCGAAGAAATTGAAACTCATTTTTTAACTTACTAAGCTCACGGTGTTAAAACATTATTGCAATAATACCACTACCAGCCTATCATGAAATACAACCTCCGCGGCGGGTTCGTACTGCAGTGGAGCTGGCTGTGATATTTTGTGTTGGGAGAGTTTAACAGTTTCTAGCGAATCTTGATAACTGCTATTCAGTAAAAATAGGCGACACAAGCGTACACTAGAGTACGTGACACGAAATCACAAAATGTTGGAGGTCACATACGGTGTAAAGGTTTGTGTAACGAATCTATTCTGACAGTTCCACATGATGTTTAAGCTTTTAAGAAACCTCTAGAATAAAATTTTTGTCAGATACTTTTAGGATTTCCCGATATTTCTTTGACCATCAGATCAGAGCAGTCAAAAAGGTGTAGAAGCAACCTTACTGAAAAATGTTTGACCTTAAGATTCTCCTAAATTAGGTATTTGACGAATTCCACAGCTTGCACAGTCAAACATCCATAAGTCTGTTAATAAAAATTCCGTGAATTCTGGGCATTTCGTACATAGTTGTGTCATTATAAGCATTTTAGCCACGGAAGCAAACTTTATTGGTACTCAAGTCGCGAGCCATGAAACCTAAGAAGTACCGTGGACCAAAATCAATGAATGACATGCGCGGCCATGATTGGTAAAAAGAAATGTTAATTGCATTAAGAATCAGATACTCAAGTCATAAAATCTAGGTTCAATTGACCCCATTGCTACATGTAAAGTTGACACAAAAATCAAGCTGCAACTTGCAACATTTAAATTATTATAATAAACTGTTTCGCTTTCTAGCTTAATCCCCTACTTACCTTAAAGATAATCAGTCTCATTTTGCAGGTACGTTCTAGTGACAATCATGGCAGGATGTTTGGCGATCATCTCTCTTCTCCTTACCTGTACTTCTCTACCAAAGGTAATTGCTCGTTCACATATTACGTAATCAGCTGGGGGGGGGGGGGGGGGGGGGCGGGGTTTCCGAATGATTTCGCTAGTGTAATTTTGACACAATAGCTGTGTGTAAAACTGATTACGGAGGGGGGGGGGGGTTAAAAATGTTCCAAAAAATAATTACTTAATATGTGAACGACCCCTCACACGACACAACGCAGATAAGAACTCAGACATAGGACTGGCACATAATTAAGACATAATCAAGATACCGATAAGGCCGGGAAAATACACATGAGAATCTGAGTAAAAATGCTTTAAAAAGTGATAGCACGTACAGAATAGAAATTGAGACAGGGATACAGAGTAAAATTATGCACATTAATTAACAAGCTATGATAAAAATAAGGGCTGAATCATAAAGAAATTGATGCGTTAGAAGAAAAAAAGACATTTTAATTGAGACAAATCCAAATTTATATGTATAAAAATAATGCATGATAGAATTAAAAATGAGATCTTATTGGAATAATGGAAAAAATATAAATAAGTCCAGATTGTTGAGAAGGATAGAGTCTTGAGCTTAAAGATGAACCTTTGAGTACTTCTATTTTTAAGCTGAGAAGATAGAAGATGAAGCTATGCTCACGCGTATTCTTGGCGTCGAATCTTCGCTCGACAGTCAAATCTCATATTATCCTCCAGCGATGATTTAACACCAAGAAAACACACTATTTCGTGATCTAACCTATGTGAGGTTATTTAAAATATTCCCTCAGTACCTCACCAGCTGACACGGTCAACAGAGAGCCGCATACTTTTAAAAAGAAAACATAAAAGCTTTGGTGCTTATCTTCGACTGACTGTCTCTGACTCTACTGTCAGCAAAATCATGTTTTCTGTGGAAATTTGTTTCATCCGCCATTATTTCTAAGTGAACGTAAACTTTAGTGAAAAAATCATTTTTATAGCGACATTTTGAACTGTCCGAACCTAAAAAAGCTTGAAACCTATGAAGCTCAATAAAAAGTTGTTGACTTTAAAGTTAACCACGTACTTAAAACAAAATTTTCAGAACAGCGGGGATGAATTCACTGAGGCACCAGGGTTGGCAATGTTGATGGCAGTGGCTCTGGCTTACGGAGTTAGCGATGCGGGCAATCATCTTGCTCTCAACAGTATAATCGGCAGATTGTTCGACGAGAGAAGTGAGGTAAGATACAGTGGTTGCCTGGTAACTAGTAACCATGGTAACTTTGTGGTTGCTTAGTACAGTTAAACCCCGATTTACCGCCGAGTTTGGGAGAAAGGAAACATCCGCGGTAAATCGAGTTTCGCGGTAAATCGGTGTTTATCTTTTTTAAATTATACATGTAAAGCTCTATTTGGGGAAAGGAAATGTGAAGTGAGGTAAGATAACAGAATTTTCGCTGTACTTTTGGGGAAAGAGTGGGAAACTTAGTTGTGCTTTCTTCCTGAATTACAAAACGGAAGAACAACATAGGTATAGATCTAAATTCTAAAGGATCAAAAAATGTTTCCGTCGAATCAGCTCGCTTGATTAATTAAATAAATCGTCCTAACCACCAATCTCCCCCTAGGTGATATTCTGTGTGCTATCGTGTGTTATGAATCTTGCAGCCATGACATGGTACTTTGTTTATACCGTAGTTGCCTGGGAAACAATCATCGTTGCTACAGGACTGTCCGTCTTTGCGAGTATGCTGGGCATTTTCATCGTCGTAAGGCCAAAATAAGACGTAGAGAGCATGATTTAGGTTTTTTGTGTCCTACCATGAACGTATTAGCTTTGTTTTTTCTAGGTCAGACTATTAATAAATTATGGGCATTTTCTAAACTATTAATAAATGCTGGGTATTTTATAAGCTTGAGATTTGTAAATATTGTGAAATGTGAATTGACCTTAAAAAGTTGCGGGAAAAAAACTTTAACGCTCTTTTATATTTTGCTATTTTGAATTGTGATTTTTATTAACGGTTGGGCTTTTATGTTCTATGATCCTACCGTTTGTAGATTTCTAGATGTTATTATTTTGTTATCCAAGTGAATGATAGCCAATGATAAACGTTTTTGGAATTTGAAAGAAACTATGAAATAAAATATTTACATATTTATAAAAGCATCGAAAAAGAAATTACCAATAAAATCGCGTTTTTACTTCATCATGCGTTTTATAATTCATCTAGGTTGCTGTTTTACAAAATTGTAAAGGTTAAAATGATAATAAGTCAACAACTCTAAAATAACAAATTGATGTCGGGCAACAGGTTATTTTATTTATAAAGTAATCTCTATATTTTTCGAATAAAACCGCATACCAACCGTTTTGGTATAAAATTTGAATAAAAAGATGTTTAAAAGTAAAACTATTGTTTAAACCATATGCCTTATTTTAAATAAAAATATCTTTTCTTAAAAATATGGCATTAAATTGCATTATATAAAGCTTAATTAAAATAAATATGCATCCAGTAAAAACTCAAGATTTAAGATCCAACCCGGTCCATACAAAATATGCAAAAATACAAAACTCATAACTTGCCCAAAAATGTCAACTTAAATATTTTAAGTCAGCACTAGCTTGAGCTACAAATATTAGCAAGAGATCGTTCCCATATTACGTTAGCCACTTTCTTTTGCAATTTTAGTCCCCTAGCTGTTTCCATAAGTTCACCCTCATACCCCTTCAAAAGTTGTGAACAATTCAATATGTTGTTCTCAATTAGTATTCTTTGATAGACGCATTTAACATCTTGCAATATGATATTGGCCGAGCAAAATAGCTTATTTGGTGTTGATAGACAGTTCCCAAGTCAGAAGTCGACCTTAAGAACCTGAGTCCATTTTCTAAGCCCAAAATTTATAATTTTCCTGGCTTCATTTAGGAGCTCCTCTAAGGCGGCTGCGGGCTTATTGAATAAGCCCGCAGCCGCCTTAGAGGAGCTCCTAAATGAAGCCAGGAAAATTATAAATTTAGGAATAAGTTATTCTATAATTATATGTGAACGATCCCAAGGCCAAAAAAATATAGCACGTATCTTTAAACCGAACTTTAGTTGATATAAGCAAAGTAATTTAATTCAATTAAAGCATTTAACTCCAGTAAGAATGGTCTTTATAACGAGATTCACGAAAAGACACTAACAAGAAACGATCCTATTAATAATTCTTCGTAAAATCGAATCTGGCACGCTCATTTGTGATCATGTTTTGGTTGTATAACGCTTAGAAGTGACTACCTGTAACATTAGTACCTGCGTGTATGATCAATATCATCACTGGATATAATGAAGTAACACTGATAGCAAAACAACATAAACTTGACCACGGGCGGGGGCGATATTCGGACTGATAACAGAGATTACAACTTGAAACAGCTACCAATCAAATGCGAAAATCGCCGTCACGTGCAGGCAAATGTCACGTGCAAATAAATGTCACGTGCAAATAAATGTCACGTGCAAATAAATGTCACGTGCAAATAAATGTCACGTGCAAATATTCTTCCTAAACCACGCAATCTATAAGATAACTTGTTGGTGTACAAATTTTATTCTGTCTTGTAACATTTGGCTCTAAAACTCGTAACTCTGATAAGGGGCCCTTATTAAAGTATTAGGGGCACGAGGAGCTACATTTGCTGAGGAGTGGTCTTTCTGGGGTCTTTGATACAACACAAAACACCGATCGAACGTCTTTATCCACAGCTAAAACTCACGTAGACCACTTCAACTCTCAAGCAATTTGTCTTTATCTCATTATCTGCTTTAACTCATAAAATATCCTAAATCGATCCTAATAGTTTTAAAAGCATTCACTTCAATTTTATTACGTCAGATTGATAGCCATCAGAAATAGTACCGCATGGAAAATATAACTGATATTTAGTCTCGATCCCGAACTTGTTGACTTTCCCTGCTTTACAGTAACCAGCTCAACAGAATTAGAATTAGTCGGCTCAATCTCATTTATAGGCTCATCATCCTCCACGTAATTATTTTCACTTGGTTCAGGTAACGTTTCGGCCGAAGTAAAATCAGGTGCTGGGTCTTCCTTTACAGTAACGGCCAATTCTCCTGGGCCTTCTTTTATTGTGACAACCGGAGCTGGAGCTTCGGTGATCTCTTGAGGAACTTCGGTATCTTCTCTTACAATTTCAACGATTTCAACGACTGGAGCATCTGTTTCAACAACTGGAGCGTCAGTTTCAACAACTGGAGCGTCAGTTACAACAACTGGAGCATCTGTTTCAACAACTGGAGCATCTGTTTCAACAACTGGAGCGTCAGTTATAACAACTGGAGCATCTGTTTCAACAACTGGAGCATCCGTTTCAACAACTGGAGCGTCAGTTATAACAACTGGAGCATCTGTTTCAACAACTGGAGCATCCGTTTCAACAACTGGAGCGTCAGTTACAACAACTGGAGCATGTGTTTCAACAACTGGAGCATCTGTTTCGACAACTGGAGCGTCAGTTATAACAACTGGAGCATCTGTTTCAACAACTGGAGCATCTGTTTCAACAACTGGAGCGTCAGTTACAACAACTGGAGCATCTGTTTCAACAACTGGAGCATCTGTTTCAACAACTGGAGCGTCAGTTTCAACCACAGGAGCGTCAGTTACAACAACTGGAGCGTCAGTTTCAACCACAGGAGCGTCAGTGACAACAACTGGAGCATCTGTTTCAACAACTGGAGCATCTGTTTCAACAACTGGAGCATCTGTTTCAACAACTGGAACATCAGATTCAACAACTGGTGCATCTGTTACAGCAACTGGAGCATCGGTTTCAACAACTGGAGCATCTGTTTCAACAACTGGAGCGTCAGTTATAACAACTGGAGCATCTGTTTCAACAACTGGAGCATCTGTTTCAACAACTGGAGCATCTGTTACAGCAACTGGAGCATCGGTTTCATCCACTGGTGCCTTGGTTTCCTCGACCGTTACAAATGGTGCATCCGTTTCGGGTCGAACGTATGGTGTTAATGTTTTGGGATCCATGGGTTCAGTTTGTTCAGCTGCTTCAGAAACAAGAACTGTGGGTGCTGGAGCTTCCGTGATCTCTTGAGGAACTTCAGTATCTTCTCTTACAATTTCAACGACTGGGGCGTCAGTTACAGCAACTGGAGCATCGGTTTCATCCACTGGTGCCTCGGTTTCCTCGACCGTTACAAATGGAGCATCCGTTTCGGGTCGAACGTATGGTGTTAATGTTTTGGGATCCATGGGTTCAGTTTGTTCAGCTGCTTCAGAAACAAGAACTGTGGGTGCTGGAGCTTCGGTGATCTCTTGAGGAACTTCAGTATCTTCCTTTACAATTTCATCGACTGGGGCGTCAGTTACAGCAACTGGAGCATCGGTTTCATCCACTGGTGCCTCGGTTTCCTCGACCGTTACAAATGGAGCATCCGTTTCGGGTCGAACGTATGGTGTTAATGTTTTGGGATCCATGGGTTCAGTTTGTTCAGCTGCTTCAGAAACAAGAACTGTGGGCGCTGGAGCTTCGGTGATCTCTTGAGGAACTTCGGTATCTTCTCTTACAATTTCAACGACTGGAGCGTCAGTTACAACTAAAGGAGCATCGGTTTCATCCACTGGTGCCTCGGTTTCCTCGACCGTTACAAATGGAGCATCCGTTTCGGGTCGAACGTATGGTGTTAATGTTTTGGGATCCATGGGTTCAGTTTGTTCAGCTGCTTCAGACACAAGAACTGTGGGTGCTGGAGCTTCGGTGATCTCTTGAGGAACTTCGGTATCTTCCTTTACAATTTCAACGACTGGGGCGTCAGTTACAGCAACTGGAGCATCGGTTTCATCCACTGGTGCCTCGGTTTCCTCGACCGTTACAAATGGAGCATCCGTTTCGGGTCGAACGTATGGTGTTAATGTTTTGGGATCCATGGGTTCAGTTTGTTCAGCTGCTTCAGAAACAAGAACTGTGGGCGCTGGAGCTTCGGTGATCTCTTGTGGAACTTCGGTATCTTCTCTTACAATTTCAACGACTGCTGCTTCGGTTTCAACAATTGGTGCGTCGGTTTCAACAACTGGTACTTCAGTTTGAACGGGAGCTTTTGTCGGTTCTGCAGCAGTTTCTGTTGTGATGGGGCTTGATTTAGCCTGGTATTCGTACTTCGTGACTGTAGGTTGATGCGACATATGTGTCGATGCATAGGTTGACTCGCCATCTAGGGGAGCATTGGTTATCACTCCTTCAATCACGGCCGCTTCAGAGACAACAACGGGCACCTCAGGACTGTCTGTCACAGTTTCTTCCATCACGGTTACAACGTCAACGGATTCTGTTACAACAGGTTCCTCCACCTCCTCCACTCTTGTTACATCGGAACGTTCAGCCATTTCGCTGGCATTGTCGACCACAGGAGCTTCGGTTTCAACAACTGGAGCATCTGTTTCAACAACTGGAGCATCTGTTTCAACAACTGGAGCATCTGTTTCAACAACTGGAGCATCTGTTTCAACCACATTGGCGTCAGTTACAACAACTGGAGCAAATGTTTCAACCACAGGAGCGTCAGTTACAACAACTGGATCATCTGTTTCAACCACAGGAGCGTCAGTTACAACAACTGGAGCATCGGAACGATCAGCCATCTCGCTGGCATTGTCGACTGTGGCTACTGAATTGTTTTCCTGTACTGAAAACAATTCAGTAACGGTGTTACTTTGGGTGGTATTAAATCCATCTTTACTTTCAGTTATCTGTATTTCATTCGCTGATTCTGTGGTCTTGGCTTTGGTTGTCTCGGCAACTGTTTGTTCCTCAGCTTTCTCTGTTACTTTTTCGGTGGAATGTTGTTCCATAGTGGAATTATCCATTACTCCCAAAACAGTTGACAATGGGACACTGTCAGTTGTGAACATCACGGGCTCCCTTGTTACCTCCGCTTCTTCGCTTGGGAGTTCAGTTCCACTTTCGTTCACACTTTCGGTTTCACTTTCGGTTTCGGTTTCAGGCGTGCTCTCGATGACCTGTCATTGAAATTTCACATGGAATCTGGTATTTCAATGAAATAAATAGCATCACAATCAAAAGTTAATAAATATTATTAATTAGTTCGTTACTTTGTCAGTGATTCAAATTATTTAATAAATATAAGTGTATGATTAATTTCAACAACATTTCAGATCAAATTATGGTCAATCAAAGGACTTAAAGTAAAATAACATCGTATACAACAGGAATACCAAACTGTTAAAAAACAATAAATCTATTTATAAATACATAACTATTATTATTATTATAACTAACCGTTATGTAGTCAGTAGTGCCGGTGCCGGCTGTCTTGAACGCAGTGCTCTGAAGAGCAGTGGGGGTTGGCTCCACTTGTGTTGTAGCGGACTCGGTGTAGGTTTCGTAAGTTTTACCTTCCTGAGGGCTGCTGGTCTCTGGGGAGGGGGAGTGGTGAGTAATGGAAGTGGTTTTAAGATAATACCGTTGTATTCGGGATTCTGATTATAGAGCCAGACTTTTGATTTTATACAGTGAACAACATGACGTGGTAAATTTTGTTTGTAATTGTGGTTATGGTGTCAGATAACTGGTAACCTTAAATGTAAAAAAGTAAACATAAACCGAAACTCTGGGTGGAAGACGAAAATAAATAAGTTTTTAAAAATATGAATCCGTAAAAATTCCAAATTTTAAAAGGACTGTTAATAACTAAAAAAAGAATCATCAACAACATATTGACTCGTCTTTCGTTTTCGTTTTGAATTTTTGAGTATGGAGAAAGGAGCCGCTCAGATTATATGTTTGTGAAGTGCCCGTACTATATTTAGCACACAGGTAGGATATAGTGTGCAATGCACACCCACTGTGCATTGTTGACATAGCCACAGGGTGTGGCACATATAATGTCTTTTTGAAATTTCATTTCATTAAATTTTATAGATTTGCAGCATTCAGACACCTGAACAATGTAACTGAGCTACATAGTAACGTTATATTTTATAAAGGAGCACAGATATTTAGGTGTCTGGAGACTAGCTCACAGATAGTGCGTAGAGCAACGTGGTTAAACCAAACGTTTTAAAATCTGCCAACTTGAAGACAGATGCAATGTAAAATTCTATAATTGCCCTGTCTCTTGGTCATAAAGTTTAAAATATTTTATGCAATTTTAAAATCTGGAAGTCTTGCCTAGAGATTTGTGGCTCCGAGATACAACGTACAGCAAAGTATGCATACATTACCGTGTTTTACTTATAGTCGAACTACATTTCGCTGAATACCAATGCAATATAAAGCATTTAATAAGCAATAAATAATCATGCCTAAGTGAAGTTTCATGTTCAGTTTGGTAGTGCAGGAATACTCCAGATTGAAGATATGTTAGATCATGTATCGGTACGCTGCATGACTACGGCTTCCCTTGTTGAGTCGAAATGTCAAGTCCCTAACTCGGAAGTGAGGTGTACTATTAATATGTATTTGGACCACTGGAGAGGTTGTCAATTTTAGGATTTATTATTTAAAGCTGTACATTGATGTCTGGGCGTGTCAATATTTCTCAGAGCAGCTGCAGAGTTACAGGTTCTGCACTCTGGCATTTACCAAGATTTGGAAGCTTTGGAATTGTTTAAAAATATGTTAGTAAACACTGCTCTATCTTGGCTAAATTGAAAAAGAATAATTAAGATAAAAAGCACATCAATCCCAAAAAAGCATTGCAATCCTAACTTCTCGACATGCTGCAAATATTTCCGGGATTTCCTTGATCCGTCCTTACGTGAACTAAATATTTCTATTTTGGGAGATGCATTAGCTGATTAGCAGCTCCACACCCTCGATTGCTTGCCAGTAGTATAATTATATAGTCTCTACAGCCGGAACTTAAGGACTGTGGTAGTGTCAGCAGTCAAAGCCTGGACTAAACCCTGCTTTTCAGTGGTGGCATACTCTTCAAGTGACGGGGGGAAGTAACAGCCACTAGTACAGTAGCAACTAATACTTTTCAGTAGCAACTAATACTTGTCAGTAGCAACTAATACTTTTCAGATTAAGTAAGCTATTCGGAATTTTAGGCAAGTACGTCAAGTATATTTCATATCTAATCGGGTTAGCTCACATTTTGTTTGAAAGATATGAAAGCATTCGCAAAATCATGCCTAACAAGATTTTGTGGAACCCCTTCCGGTTATAGACAAGCATTTTCTTATGGCAAAAATTGTAAATCAGCAGTTTAAAAGCATAGCATAAATTAAACCCTCACCCAACCTAGCAGCAACCCAAAATTAAATACCTGTAAGAATAGGAGAGGTAGTAAAGGGGTCCTCAGTGGAGACACCATTACCAGTAGTAGCAACAGTCCCTGACTCCGTCACAGTCTCGGTCGGGGTAACCGACACAGTCTCCGTGATGTAATCCCCTGTTGTCACCGCGCTCCTGGTACCCGTAGTGAACACCTCTTTGGTTGAGGACATGGTGGGGGTGGTTGAGTCCGTGAATTGGGGTCGGTGTTTGGTTCCAGTGGCTCTGGTGGACCTGCGGGGGTTTTAGAGATGTTAGGTAATGTCAGCAGAGTGTTAACTGTTGATAATTGGTACTGATATGATGTTCCACAGCAATAGGTTTTTCACTTCATGGCAGAGAATTCAAAAATAGATCGATGGTTATAGTAAATCAAATTTAGCCATAAAACAAAAATAAGACAAGGAATAGAGAACTAGTTTCATGGCAAAAAATAAAAATCCGACATATTAACTCTCACCTTATCTTAACTCGGGTCCCGTTCTCTCCTTTGGTGATGGTAATCCTAGTGTTGGAAGGGTTCTGGGTGGTAATACTAATAGAACCACCATCTGATTTGAACTGCTTCCTCGTCACAACGCCACTTGCTGTGGTTGACATCACGGTTACTGACGAACTTCTTGATGATCGGTTCTTGAAGATTTTAGAAGTCGCGGATACAGTCTCTACGTCGTTTTCAGAGTCTTTGGTTCGTATAGCTGTTGGAGTGGTGGTCATCACGGTCCTTAGTTTGCTAGTTTCAACAGCAACAGGGGTTGAAGAAGAGAGAGGGATAGATTCCGTTTTGGGTGGTTCAGACTTTTTATCTCCGATAAAAACGGTTGGGGTTTCACTGACAAGTTCACTAGTTGGGAGAGTCGAGCCTTCTGTTTCAATGTATTCAGTTGCGCCTTCTGTTTCAATGTATTCAGTCGTGCTTTCTATCTCGATGTGATCAGTTGTGCCTTCTGTTTCGGAGGTTTCAGTTGTGCTTTCCATTTCGATGCGATCAGTTGTGCCTTCTGTCCCAGATGTAGGTAGAGTCGAGCCTTCTGTCTCAATGTACTCAGTTGTAACGTCTGTTTTGGAGGATTCAGTTGAACCGAAAGTAATAGCTGTAGCATTGCAGCTCACTGATGGTTTCTCAGTGGCAGCTGTTGTTAAATCAGCATCAGCTGTAACTATCTGGTTAGGAGTTGAACTTACACCAGATTCCACTTCTGTTTGGGGTGTGCTTGATTTGGCGTCTCTGCCGCTTTCTGTTGAACTTGTTTCGACTGAGACTGATGGTGTAGACGGTGTTTCAGGTTGGAAAGGAGTCGTGGGAGATGTGATTTCCTGGTTCTCCTCGTCGGTGGGCGAAGATACATCTATTTTTGCACTGGTTGTTGATGTTATTGCGGATGCCCACTTTTCTTCAACATGAGTCTGTGAAGTGTTTTCTTTTTCTCTCATGTTTTCGGTGGTCGGTGATGTCATTATTTTTTCTCTTTGGCCATCGGTCGTCACCTGCATGGTGAGTTCCTTTCGTGCAGCACCTGTAGTTGGTGATGTTACCACAATCTCTCGACTTTCTTCAGTTGTAGTTGAAGTTACTACAATCTCTCGGCTTTCTTCAGTGGTGGGTGATGTTACCACAACCTCTCGGCTTCCTCCGGTGGTGGATGAAGTATTAATTTCATCAGCACTTTCAGTGATTTGGGTTGTGAACTCTTCTCTAACGGGCGATGTTGTTGATGATGTTACCACGGCTCTTCTTGCTTCAGTAGAAGAAGAAGGCTCTACTCTTCCCGCTTCAGAAGAAGAAACATCTTCTTCTTTTGGTGGTGAGGTGCTGGAAAAAGTAACTTCTTCGTCCCTTCCAGAAGGTGTTGAAGACACTTCAGCTCCAGGAGGCGTTGAAGACACTTCAGCTCCGGGAGGTGTTGAAGACACTTCAGCTCCAGGGGGTGTTGAAGACACTTCTTCTTCACCAGGCAGACTGTCTAAGGGGAACGCGAACTCTGTGCGAGACGGTTGGGTAGATGAAGACATTTCGGTGAAGACGAAATCTGTTCCTTGCAAGTCCCCGGTTTCGGCATCTTTTGAGAGCTCCACTGGCCGTTCTGAATCTGAAATAACGACAATTTAAACAGTGTTAATACCAGTTCACTTATGTAAATTGTATGCGACGGGTTTCATCTCACATTGACCATGAAATTAAAAACATGAAATGTAAAACGGTTGGATCTAGGCCAATTTTCTAATTAATTAGATATTCTGACAAATAAATTCCGATCAAACAAGCGATTTGAGTAAAATTTGTATTTAAAATGGAAACAAACCTATCAGTCTGCCCAAAGAAGCGCATTCTCCCGAGAAAATCAGGAAAATCTGACAGAGTAGTAACGTCACGAAACCCATTATCGGCACCCTATCAACAACAAGTTAGAGATAATCTTTAAAAAAGGTAAAAGAAAACTTCCAAAAGAAACTCAAATTTGATAAGATCACGTAATACTTGGTGGGTAAACCCCCGCGTGATATTTGATATGGACAGTAAGTGACAAGGTTGATGGGTCGTATCGTCCACTGCACGATTATATCGTTCCGTGACTTCACCACTTGGTGTGAGACCATGTTATAAACCCCAAAACCGAGATCAAACGAAATTACAAGTTTACACCCCGCGCTTGCTAAATTACGTAGTGCCTATCTAGTTTCTAGTGACGATGACACAACTACACAAGGGCCTGGCAGAGGCAATCTAGCAGACAGCAATTTAGTGTTGAACTGAGATAAAAGGGAGTGTTAGAAACTTAACGATTGATAAGACGTTTAGTATGCAGTGACAATGACCGCTGCGACCGAGTTTCAGACTTGACAATGTCGTCGTAACTCGCAGCCTTAAACTCGGTTAGGTAGTGGCACGTATCAGGAACAAAGTGAAAGGCTCGGAGACACAATGCTGCATGATTTCAGTTTTATTTGGAGGGTTTCGAGAGATGCTATCATCACGAAAGTGGGCTAGGGTTGGTGAGCATACTTACAAGTTGGGTTATGTTTAAAGGTTCAGAATACATCGTGAGCTGAGGTTATTTACTCGGAGACTCCATTCGATTAACAAGATTTGAAGAAGGTCAAGAGTTTATGATATTGTGAAATAAGGTTCCAAATTCGTGGCAGAAAAACATGAACTCATGAGCCAATAAGTTTTTTACAATTGCCAGCATAGTAGTTTCAATTTCACGACCACCTTATCTGATTAAGTTCTAATTAATCGCAATTGATAAACCAATATTCAGTCTTAAACAATTATACACGTGAAAATGAAACTACTTGAAATTAATTAACTAATAAGTAATACTATTACTGTATATTACTGTATATTACTGTATATTACTGTATATTACTAATATGCAGTGCTTCGCTGATGCAGTGGCTAGCGTCGAGCAGTCCCGATTTTCAGCCGACAGAAAAGAGTTCGAACCTGAGTACGGGAGTACCACCATGAAGCTTCAGAGTTCAGAGTAAGGGACCAACTGCCAACTTAACCCTACACTGCGTTATATTCATGTAGCCTTACTGTCTCAATGTGAATAAGGTACTAACTTAGGTAGATTTACAAGACGAAGCAGCGGCCGGAAAAAGCTGGGTAGTCCTTAATAAAGATCCTAAGCCTATCTTTAGACTTTTAGACATTAATTTGTGGACGGATTGTGGCTTACTTTACCGCTAAAACGGATAAGTAAATAGATAAATTAAGTAAAATGAGTCAAGAAATTAACATATCGTAACAAGACACGAATCAAGTTTTGCGTCTACAATATGATTTCACACTTAATCAAGTGCTAACAATTGAAAGTTATCAACACAATAAGCTGTCAGCAACGGGCTACCCAATATTTAATAAACCGCACATTCTATCACTGAAAGAAAACCTACTATTTTAATGATAATCTACTCATCGGGTTTGCGAGGCGATGAAATTGATGAAAATGATCGTTGAAATAAAAAACTGTAAGCAAAATCAACCTGTAATGTCTGTTAAGAATAAGACCACGCCCAAACAATTAAACCACAGCGCGCATTACCAAACAGCACGTGCAACAAAAACACACCAGTTCTAAACGAAGCAACCTAGGCGAAGATTGCCAACAAATCTGGCTGTAAAAGATCCCTGAATCGCAAGCTGGAGTAGCGGCAGTAGAAACTGAGAAAGAGAGTGAGCGGAGGGAGGATGGCGTTGACAGAATGAACTCAACAAATGATAAAATGGACAGAGAGAGAACGTAGGATGTATCCGATGTACGTATCTGTCAATATATATAATAACCCTCACGTCAAAAATTTTAACAAAAAACGCAGATAATGCGAAGGATCGGTTTTCTGGTTTGTGGAGTTGGTGGTAGGGAACCGGGACGGGAAATAAGGGGGAAGGGGAAGTGAAAATAACCGTCAGGGAATGTAGACTGCCAACTGAACATGCCCACGCGAAGGGATTTTTAAAGATTTACTAATTTCTCCGGCTTCACCCTAGTTATATTTCTTGATGTCCTGAGTTTAAACAGCAAAGCTCCCCCCGTACGACAAGGATGGGCAACTATAACAGACCGAGGGAGCTTAATACTTTACTAAAAAGTGAAGGGCTCTCTCTCTCTCTCTCTCTCTGAAGGGCAACTTAACATACACACTAGCAAAGTGTTGAGCCGGCAATTGTAGGAGCTCTCCAGCAGGTTGCTGTTTAAACTCGCATGATGTGTACTGCAGAGATGAAGTGAGGCCTGCATTTATCGGCACTTTTACAGGCTGCCGGAGAGTAGGACCAGCATGCATATTTTGTTACTTTCACTTTCAGTATTGTACGAGATATTCGTAATACCCCAGCCTGCAAAACCGTAGAAGTATACAAATCTCAATGTTAATGAGCGTCTCGGGCTGGTATAATAACGCGCGTTACCCCTACATCCGATGAAGTGTACCTTTCTCAGGGTTTACCTCTACATTTAATGAAGTGTTTGATGAAGGAGTTAGTGGCAAGGTTTAACTTCTTTAGGAACCTCATGACCTTAGCCCCAAAAACAGGAAAGTTGCACAGAAGGAACGTTACAGTGTGAATATAAATGTTTGCTGACAGCCTGAAGAACCTGGCTAACTCGCCAGGTAGGCGGCCAGTCACTGACCACCGTTACTAATACAGACCGGTTACTGGCCAACCTAAATATAAACCTGGTTGTAATTGAGAGTGGGTGTAAATGATAAGTTTTAAACCCTAACACTGTAAAAGGTGAGTTAGAGTCAAATAGACGGACTAGCTTTCTATGGTTTGATGTAAAGACTGAGAAATTTTGTTTTTGTGTTAACCGGAGAGTTGAACGCTGCCAGATCACCGCGATAAGATATTTTTTGGTGTTTGGCTTCGAAACACGCGTACTAACACTTTCTAGGCCGCATAGCATAAGCAATATATTTAAATACTCATGGTTTTAAACTTGGCAGTTTAACGTAAGGCTATTTTTAGCTTTTTAGGAAATCCTAACATTAGTTTCAAGAAGCTGGCATTAGTCGACTAATTCATTTGCACGCTTCAGGACGGTAAATAGAAATGTACAGCCACAACAAATATTGGTGGTGTTATTATACGTTTTATTACACGTTTTAACTTTAATTTTAACTTAATGTTAGTGTTAAAAATATAGAATGTAGAATGTAAAACACGTACAAAGTAAATACCGTCTACTGATTCACTACTGACGGTGTGCAGCTAAGCAAATTCTAATCCTTTGGTGCATTCCATGATAATGGTGCATTCCATGGTAATTTTCATGGTAATCATGGCAAATTCTTTGGCCAATATTACAAAATTTCATTGGGGTAAGCTGTACAGGGCTTCAATGCTCTTATAACTGAGAATCCTTAATTCTTTGGACCACATTCCCCAGCTTCGAAGAAGAAGAGATCATGAAATGAAAGGAACCTGTAACGGTATTTTATGGAGGTTTATTCTATGATGGATCTTAGTAAACCTTATTAGCTTATTATAATAATGTGATTCCTCTGACAGCAGCTCTCACAGCACATTAATTAATGGAACGTCCCTTGGAAATACTGATCGATTTAATACGAGGATTCAGGATTTCTAAATCAGGAATCACCCTGAAATTTTCAGTGTTGACATTTTATAACAGTCAGTTGGACTAAAAAGTCCAAGTTACATCGTTACATTGTTAGAATCCATGGATGAGATACGAAATCATGCAGGTGATTCCACAGAAAAAACAACAACAAACATAGTGGCCTGGTTTTGGTTGGCCTCTGCTCAGTTTCTCGAGATATGACAGTTCGTCTCACTCTAGTTGGTTGGTTCCGTAATATCCCGTAAGAGCTAGCTATCACTAATTACTGTCGGGTGTCAAGACTAATGTACTCTTTCCAAAATTAAGGGGAACCCGAAACCGGAAACTGGTAAACTGTATTATAGAGGTAGCCGACACACTGCAACTGAAATACGTGCGGCCTGATACTTGTGAAGCTGTCTCTCTGAAGGCCTGATACTTGTGAAGCTGTCTCTCTGAAGGCCTGATACTTGTGAAGCTGTCTCTCTGAAGGCCTGATACTTGTTTGCTCTCTTACTGTCGGGTGTCAAGACTAATGTACTCTTTCCAAAATTAAGGGGAACCCGAAACCGGAAACTGGTAAACTGTATTATAGAGGTAGCCGACACACTGCAACTGAAATACGTGCGGCCTGATACTTGTGAAGCTGTCTCTCTGAAGGCCTGATACTTGTGAAGCTGTCTCTCTGAAGGCCTGATACTTGTGAAGCTGTCTCTCTGAAGGCCTGATACTTGTGAAGCTGTCTCTCTGAAGGCCTGATACTTGTGAAGCTTGCTCTCTGAAGGCCTGATACTTGTGAAGCTTGTTCTCTGAAGGCCTGATAGTTGTGAAGCTTGCTCTCTGAAGGCCTGATACTTGTGAAGCTGGCTCTCTGAAGTCCTGATAGTTGTGAAGCTTGCTCTCTGAAGGCCTGATACTTGTGAAGCTGGTTCTCTGAAGGCCTGATAGTTGTGAAGCTTGCTCTCTGAAGGCCTGATACTTGTGAAGCTTGCTCTCTGAAGGCCTGATACTTGTGAAGCTGGCTCTCTGAAGGCCTGATACTTGTGAAGCTTGCTCTCTGAAGGCCTGATACTTGTGAAGCTTGTTCTCTGAAGGCCTGATAGTTGTGAAGCTTGCTCTCTGAAGGCCTGATACTTGTGAAGCTGGCTCTCTGAAGTCCTGATAGTTGTGAAGCTTGCTCTCTGAAGGCCTGATACTTGTGAAGCTGGTTCTCTGAAGGCCTGATAGTTGTGAAGCTTGCTCTCTGAAGGCCTGATACTTGTGAAGCTTGCTCTCTGAAGGCCTGATACTTGTGAAGCTTGTTCTCTGAAGGCCTGATAGTTGTGAAGCTTGCTCTCTGAAGGCCTGATACTTGTGAAGCTGGCTCTCTGAAGTCCTGATAGTTGTGAAGCTTGCTCTCTGAAGGCCTGATACTTGTGAAGCTGGTTCTCTGAAGGCCTGATAGTTGTGAAGCTTGCTCTCTGAAGGCCTGATACTTGTGAAGCTTGCTCTCTGAAGGCCTGATACTTGTGAAGCTGGCTCTCTGAAGGCCTGATACTTGTGAAGCTGTCTCTCTGAAGGCCTGATACTTGTGAAGCTGGCTCTCTGAAGGCCTGATACTTGTGAAGCTGGCTCTCTGAAGGCCTGATAGTTGTGAAGCTTGCTCTCTGAAGGCCTGATACTTGTGAAGCTGGTTCTCTGAAGGCCTGATACTTGTGAAGCTGTCTCTCTGAAGGCCTGATACTTGTGAAGCTGGCTCTCTGAAGGCCTGATACTTGTGAAGCTGGCTCTCTGAAGGCCTGATACTTGTGAAGCTGGCTCTCTGAAGGCCTGATAGTTGTGAAGCTTGCTCTCTGAAGGCCTGATAGTTGTGAAGCTGTCTCTCTGAAGGCCTGATACTTGTGAAGCTGTCTCTCTGAGGGCCTGATAGTTGTGAAGCTTGCTCTCTGAAGGCCTGATAGTTGTGAAGCTGGCTCTCTGAAGGCCTGATACTTGTGAAGCTGTCTATCTGAAGGCCTGATACTTGTGAAGCTGTCTCTCTGAAGGCCTGATACTTGTGAAGCTGTCTCTCTGAAGGCCTGATAGTTGTGAAGCTGGCTCTCTGAAGGCCTGATACTTGTGAAGCTGTCTCTCTG